CATTTCATATAATGCAGAGCAGAAATCATTAGCATTACGAAATCATAATAAGAATTGTATATATAATTACATAATCAGATAGTAGATTGAAAAAAATATCAAAGTGGGCTTGAAACTTGCATCTAATGACATGATCAGTCATTGAATATCTCAAACAGGTGATATAGCTTATTTGTTTTTCTAATCATATCCAAATCTTGAATTATATCTCTCAATGTAAAAAGTTTTGGAAGGTCTTTGATTTATGATATAAATGATTAAAATTTCATTACAAGCCCAAAGAAGAGAAAAGCTGAGTGTACATTTTTTCTTATGATTTCTTTTTGAAATTTTGCATACACATCATTTAGTAAACTAATTCATCTGACTACTGAAAAATGATTCAAATTGTTAGAACAGATTTTAAGAATGTATTCGGTTTTGCCTTTAAATGTGAAACAAATAATGAAGTACATAATAAGGGAATAGAGAAATTGATTAGGTGACAAGGGTTCTCATTTCGTACAAATATATTTCATAGAAATTTCTGAACACATTACAAATTAATAATAACAATTCTCTAAATTCATGGCATGACTAAAGGCGGAATAGTCATGATCACAGGTGACCGTTCAGTGGTTGGTTTTAATGTCACACCGGATCTATCGTCCTCATCCCTCACGTGCCTCTTCTCTTTCACTTCTTCGACTCGTTCTCCGTCGTCCGATTCGCTGACATTTATTTCCTCTGCCACTTCAGTCTCCTGGTTCTCTTCGTTCTTCAAGACGATTTCAGGTTCCTTTTTCCTGTCTTCCAATTGACTCTGCCACCTGTTATCGTTAACGATCTCCGGCGCCTGCCTAGCCACGTACTGCGTCACTTTGAACGGGTTTAAATCCGGAGACCGGTTGTAGGTCTTACGTTTGACTTCCGGCCTGTAAATCACTCTGGGCTCCCCCGGTTGATCCCTGCGCTGCGGGAACTGTCCCGCTTCCTGCATTCTTGCACCTGTTGCACCGGTTCCATAGGGAAAAGCTTGCCTGAGATTCTGTTCGGGCTCCATCATAGGGTTCCCCTCTTCAAACGAGTCGGCCAAGTACTTGTCCGTTCCGAAGACCGCTCTGGGGTTTCCATACGATCCACGAGACCTCCTAACGTCTACGAAGCCGGGCTCGTTATCGATCAGCCCGAAATCGGCGAACCTATTAGCAGGCATTAGGGGCTTGGTCGTTTGGTCGTCATAGAAACTAGGTTTCCTGTATTGAGTCCTCCTCGAGATTCTCGAGTACGGGAAATTAGGTTGATAAGGAGACGCTGGAGGAGCGACTAGGCCGCGAACAACGGAGGTCTGTGCAGGAGCCACGTCAAAATCGAGGTCTCTCCCAATTGTGAAGGGATTCTCGCGTCTGCCGGCACCTCCGGCTCCTCTGCCGACGCCAAAGGCTCCTCTGCTTCTAATGGCTCTGTCGTATGCATTGTACTGGCTGCTGTACGGATTACCGTACGGTCCCGATCTGTAGGATTGGTGGCTGCCTTGCCAGGGACTGGGCTCTGCCTCGAACTCGTACTCTCTCCTGGGCTGCGAATCCCTGAACGAAACACACAACCCGTTTCTGATTATTTATTTGTCAATTTTTCTGAGCTCGACACTCCCGAGCTCAGATGGCACTCTTGAACAATGTTCGTTTAGCCTTTTACGCTCTGTACATTATGAATCACTTGTACATTTTACAAAATAAATGTTTGTAGGTATATGTTAAAAATAAAACCGTTTCTGATTAATGCAATCGATTCTCGATTATCGATTCTGCAATCGAGAAATGTGCATTCTTACCAGGACACCAAGGCGTCGGGCCGTTCTCTGCGGCACGAGGGACAGGAAGCATGCCTCAGCTGTCTTCCGAAATAGTCCCAATCCTGAAATCGTGACGATCCAGCGATCGCGTTCACGAGGCAGAGGAAAAAAACTGCGAAGCTTCCCTTAGACATGCTACACGCTTATCAAACCGTCGGGACCGTCCGCGAACGTTTTATGAGCTACCGTACAAGGACGCTCGTGTCCCGTCGTTGCATCATGAATTCGATCAGAAAACGATCTGACGCCGAGTCTCCGACCTCGACCCGATTTTTGTTTTTTAACATCGGTTCGTGGCGGAAATCGACGGAAGCAGATACAGGAGTGATACGAAAATGCTTTTAAAAATAAAGAAACAATAATAACAGCGAAACTGTTTTTCATCGCCCTCGATTCGGTGGAAATCGATGCACGTGCCACGGAATGGGTATATACGCCGATGTATGCATTCATGTACGTATGTATGTATGTATGTATATACACGTGCGGTGTCAGCGAGCGTAAAATAATAATAAATAACATGCACGCGCGAATATGTATCCCGTTATACGAGCTGTTTTCCAGCCGCTGACAAAAGTTTCACCGTGAAATACGAGCTGCTTCCGGTTCCACTGTTTCATGCACAGGTCGTTTCGACTTCCACCGCCCTGTACAATTACACTAATTACTGCTTTCTGCTGCTATCACGTTCCCGGCTGTATCTCCGTTTCGATTACTACTCACTCAATTCTTGCATCTTGATTCTCTTACTTAAGTACAATTCAAAGTTTTTTATCTATCGCAAACATTGGCGATAAATTTAAAGCTTGTGCAAAATACTAATAATGCTTGATTAAATTCAATGAATATAGAACAATTAGTGTCACTGTTTTATTCCTTATTTCTTAATACACTGCTTTTTCAAATATGTAAATTTTTATGATCACTTGTACCTTTGTTATTCATGTAATTTTCAATGAATATAGAAAAATTAGCGTCACTGTTTTATTCCTTATTTCTTAATACACTGCTTTTTCAAATATGTAAATATTGCTTTTCGTTTGGTTTTTATGAGCCTTTTTCCAAACTCTATTAAAATCATGAAATTCAGTTATCTTCGCATAGAGACTTCTTTTTTGCCTGGCACTAAAAGGGTTAACTATCATTCATGATTAAAGGCAGTATTAAAGTCTATTTAATGATGATTCACAGACAGGAGACGGACGATGATATAATATCGAAGAAGTCGCTGCAGGTCGTGAAACTGATCATCAGCTTCCTGAAAGAACGTAAGGGATTCCCATTAGAAAAAGAAACGTGATCGTAGAGGTAGCTGAGCGAAAGCTTGAAAGAAGTATTGTTCATCTTAAAGATGCCAGGGAGGAGGGTTTGTTCCGGCGCGGGGGCCGTCGTGATCTAAGAAGGAGAATTTTAAATTCGCTGAAGAAAGGCGAGAAGCCTTACTTGGGGAACAACAACGTCGCTCTGGAATGCGCGGCAGCGTTGCAACTTTATCTGGGACATTTGAAGAAACCAGTCATGCCTCAACACATTCAGCAATTATTATTGGGTAATCGTCAAATTTGAACAGGCTCGTCTAATGTTCGTATATTTATTAATTTAAACAAGACGTCATCGATAATCAATTCAATTATTTAATTCGACGTGAATTTCTGCACGCGTAGCTCACGTTTCGCAATTTAGTAAAACTGAGATTAGCCAATCGTACGCGTTTGCAAAGAACGCGTTCCTTAAATTCCGAGGCACGCAGTAT